GCATATGACTACTGGCAGAATCAACCAGATACCTAGTTCCTGCAGGCTGCGCCCGGGCAGATACCTGTTAAAGCACTGCCCGAAACGCCTCCCAAAGCCCCCGAAGGGGCAGCATGTTACATAGGCTTCCATCTGGAAGGGACACACGAAGTGTCCGGCCACAGCGACACCCCCGGCGTACCGGGAGCACACAGATGACCATCCAATTGCCCCCACTGTAGCCCCCCAGGAACCGGTCCGCACGCAGGTGACCCCGCCAGAATCGCCTTTGCAGGCGCTGGCAGGCTGCGGCATACGGCCCTCGGGTGGAGGGTCCAGACCCTGCGGACACGCTGACGAACAGCGGCTCCCGCAGGGCGGCTCCCCCCGGGAATCTGTATAAGAAGGCTGGCCAGCGGCCAACGATCCACAGACTCCATCGGTGCCGGGGACCGAGAACGGCCCCCGGACTTCAGACACCCCAGCAACAACGGGCACTCCCGGGCATGATTAAGCTGGCGCCGACCTGGCTAGCGACTCGAACTCACACTGTTACTATCTCAGGGGTCACGGGCGCGACCATACGAAATGCATGGAAGCTCCTAACCTCCAGTCGACGCGCAACCGGCAAGAAAGAGAACCTAGGACCAGGAAAGGCACCGGCCGCGCAGGAGAAGACCACGGGCTGAGGTGGGCGATTACCCCGTTCCTGAAGCGAGGCCCAGCTAAGGGACCTGTGCGCCACCAGTCACAGAGAGGCAACCTGCCTGGCAGGGAAGAAGTATGGACTGGCTTCCGGCAGCTGAGATCAGCTGCCTTTCACCTTCCACATAGAACCACCGGCCCTGCTTGGCCCTGTCGCATGCGTGCAAACGCTCCCGTGTCCGAAAGTCATTCGTGGGGGACCACTTTTGTATGGGGTGGTCCGTGCGTCCACCCGTTTTCCCATACAAAGTGGGCCACCCAACTTCGCCCCCTACCCGGGCTGTAAGGGACTTAGGCGTTTTCGCGTGCCGCCGTCCGCCCATACGTGGCCGAACGGCCCGGTGTAACACCGCCCTCGGCCGCTGTCGCCCTCCCTCTCCCGCCCTCCGACCCGTGCACCACGCGCTCTCTGCCTGTGGGAGTCTGGCACTCCGCGACACCCCCGATCACGTGACCCGCCGCGCAACGTGAGGCTTTGGCAGCCGTCCGGATGTGCAACCCAGATCGATGTCATCGCTCTCCCGGTCATCCCAGGGGTGTGTAGACGTGCCTGCGTCGTCATACAGGCGTCTGTGTGTCTGTCTGCTGGGGCTGTGGACATCCGTATGCGGATGCGTTGGGTGTCCGGGGGGGTAGGGTTATATATATCGGTGCGAGTGAGGGTGTGTGCACCAACATGACGGTGGGAGACGTGTGAGGTGTGGATATATATATTTGGCCTGCGTGTGTGTCGACGCGTACGCAAGGGCGCAGTGGCGGTCGATGACCGGCTAGAAGCCGTGCGGCGTCCCGCACGCCCTGCCGACGTACCCCTTCCCTCCCCGGCACCGCCTCCCGAGCACCACCCTCGCACCCCCGGCGCCCCAGCGTCGACCCTTCCCCCTCCCACGCGGGAATGGCACCCCGGCCGCCTCCCTCCGCGTCGCCGGGCCCCACCCCTGCCCGTTTTCTCCCGCGGCGCCTCTCATGATTCAATTTCACCCAGCCAACTGGCAAATCCCCTTTGCCAGCACGCACCCCTGCGCGGGCCCTGGACGCCAGCCCCAACGCTCACCCGCAACCGCGGGGCGCCGGGCACCTGCCTGGCCCCGCCGTGAGCGCCGGCCGGCCAGCCGCCCTTGCCCTACAGGTCCTCCGGACCCACGTCGCCTGCCATCGTGCGTGCAAACGCTCCGGTGTCCGAAAGTGATTCGTGGGGGCGTCGTGGAGGCCCACCGCATTCCTACCGCCGTCTTACGCGGCCAACTGGCCTCGCCCCTCCGTCGCTGCGTGGAACGGCAGACCCGGGAGTAAAAGAGGCAAGGACGACGAGACACGCGGCACCGCAGTCACGCTGCCACCACCATGTATGTCGGCAAACTGGCGGGTTGTGTTCGTGAAGAGAAGGAGGAGGGACCCAGGCTCGGCGCCTGTGCCCCATCCCGATGCCCCCTCCAACCGCCCGGCGCTGCCGGGCCGTTACACAAATTGACGCTCAGCGACTCGTAGCAACAAGGCTACTTGACCGCTTACACGACCCGCTTGGCGTCTGCAGAGGATTCATGTGACCAATTCGCCAGCCACATTCTGCGCTGCGCTTAACGGGCGCGGGGCAACTTCGACAGATACGAATAGGCCTTCGGGCCATGCACCTCAGCAGGCTGGCGACGGCTCTTAGGGAGAAGCCCCTGGGAGCTGGCTGGCGAATTGCAATGTCACCTCGCGCGGGGATGAATCCTCTGCAGACGACTGAAGTGACCAAGCGGGTCGTGTAAGCGGTCAAGTAGCCTTGTTGCTACGAGTCGCTGAGCGTCAGCCCGTCCTTGGCTAGATTTGTGTAACAACACCCCCACTGACAAGCCCGGCAGCGCCGGGCGGTTGGAGGGGGCATCGGGATGGGGCACAGGCGCCGAGCCTGGGTCCCTCCTCCTTCTCTTCACGAACACAACCCGCCAGTTTGCCGACATACATGGTGGTGGCAGCGTGACTGCGGTGCCGCGTGTCTCGTCGTCCTTGCCTCTTTTACTCCCGGGTCTGCCGTTCCACGCAGCGACGGAGGGGCGAGGCCAGTTGGCCGCGTAAGACGGCGGTAGGAATGCGGTGGGCCTCCACGACGCCCCACGAATCACTTTCGGACACCGGAGCGTTTGCACGCACGATGGCAGGCGACGTGGGTCCGGAGGACCTGTAGGGCAAGGGCGGCTGGCCGGCCGGCGCTCACGGCGGGGGCCAGGCAGGTGCCCGGCGCCCCGCGGTTGCGGGTGAGCGTTGGGGCTGGCGTCCAGGGCCCGCGCAGGGGTGCGTGCTGGCAAAGGGGATTTGCCAGTTGGCTGGGTGAAATTGAATCATGAGAGGCGCCGCGGGAGAAAACGGGCAGGGGTGGGGCCCGGCGACGCGGAGGGAGGCGGCCGGGGTGCCATTCCCGCGTGGGAGGGGGAAGGGTCGACGCTGGGGCGCCGGGGGTGCGAGGGTGGTGCTCGGGAGGCGGTGCCGGGGAGGGAAGGGGGTACGTCGGCAGGGCGTGCGGGACGCCGCACGGCTTCTAGCCGGTCATCGACCGCCACTGCGCCCTTGCGTACGCGTCGACACACACGCAGGCCAAATATATATATCCACACCTCACACGTCTCCCACCGTCATGTTGGTGCACACACCCTCACTCGCACCGATATATATAACCCTACCCCCCGGACACCCCAACGCATCCGCATACGGATGTCCACAGCCCCAGCAGACAGACACACAGACGCCTGTATGACGACGCAGGCACGTCTACACACCCCTGGGATGACCGGGAGAGCGATGACATCGATCTGGGTTGCACATCCGGACGGCTGCCAAAGCCTCACGTTGCGCGGCGGGTCACGTGATCGGGGGTGTCGCGGAGTGCCAGACTCCCACAGGCAGAGAGCGCGTGGTGCACGGGTCGGAGGGCGGGAGAGGGAGGGCGACAGCGGCCGAGGGCGGTGTTACACCGGGCCGTTCGGCCACGTATGGGCGGACGGCGGCACGCGAAAACGCCTAAGTCCCTTACAGCCCGGGTAGGGGGCGAAGTTGGGTGGCCCACTTTGTATGGGAAAACGGGTGGACGCACGGACCACCCCATACAAAAGTGGTCCCCCACGAATGACTTTCGGACACGGGAGCGTTTGCACGCATGCGACAGGGCCAAGCAGGGCCGGTGGTTCTATGTGGAAGGTGAAAGGCAGCTGATCTCAGCTGCCGGAAGCCAGTCCATACTTCTTCCCTGCCAGGCAGGTTGCCTCTCTGTGACTGGTGGCGCACAGGTCCCTTAGCTGGGCCTCGCTTCAGGAACGGGGGTAATCGCCCACCTCAGCCCGTGGTCTTCTCCTGCGCGGCCGGTGCCTTTCCTGGTCCTAGGTTCTCTTTCTTGCCGGTTGCGCGTCGACTGGAGGTTAGGAGCTTCCATGCATTTCGTATGGTCGCGCCCGTGACCCCTGAGATAGTAACAGTGTGAGTTCGAGTCGCTAGCCAGGTCGGCGCCAGCTTAATCATGCCCGGGAGTGCCCGTTGTTGCTGGGGTGTCTGAAGTCCGGGGCCGTTCTCGGTCCCCGGCACCGATGGAGTCTGTGGATCGTTGGCCGCTGGCCAGCCTTCTTATACAGATTCCCGGGGGGAGCCGCCCTGCGGGAGCCGCTGTTCGTCAGCGTGTCCGCAGGGTCTGGACCCTCCACCCGAGGGCCGTATGCCGCAGCCTGCCAGCGCCTGCAAAGGCGATTCTGGCGGGGTCACCTGCGTGCGGACCGGTTCCTGGGGGCTACAGTGGGGGCAATTGGATGGTCATCTGTGTGCTCCCGGTACGCCGGGGGTGTCGCTGTGGCCGGACACTTCGTGTGTCCCTTCCAGATGGAAGCCTATGTAACATGCTGCCCCTTCGGGGGCTTTGGGAGGCGTTTCGGGCAGTGCTTTAACAGGTATCTGCCCGGCGCAGCCTGCAGGAACTAGGTATCTGGTTGATTCTGCCAGTAGTCATATGCTTGTCTCAAAGATTAAGCCATGCATGTCTAAGTGTAAGCAATTTATACTGTGAAACTGCGAATGGCTCATTAAATCAGTTATCGTTTATTTGATAGTACCTTACTACATGGATACCTGTGGTAATTCTAGAGCTAATACATGCTGAAAACCTCGACTTCGGAAGGGGTGTATTTATTAGATAAAAAACCAATGCCCTTCGGGGCTCCTTGGTGAATCATAATAACTTAACGAATCGCATGGCCTTGCGCCGGCGATGGTTCATTCAAATTTCTGCCCTATCAACTTTCGATGGTAGGATAGTGGCCTACCATGGTGGCAACGGGTAACGGGGAATTAGGGTTCGATTCCGGAGAGGGAGCCTGAGAAACGGCTACCACATCCAAGGAAGGCAGCAGGCGCGCAAATTACCCAATCCCGACACGGGGAGGTAGTGACAATAAATACTGATACGGGGCTCTTTTGGGTCTCGTAATTGGAATGAGTACAATTTAAATCCCTTAACGAGGAACAATTGGAGGGCAAGTCTGGTGCCAGCAGCCGCGGTAATTCCAGCTCCAATAGCGTATATTAAAGTTGTTGCAGTTAAAAAGCTCGTAGTTGAACCTTGGGTCTGGCTGGCCGGTCCGCCTCACCGCGAGTACTGGTCCGGCTGGACCTTTCCTTCTGGGGAACCTCATGGCCTTCACTGGCTGTGGGGGGAACCAGGACTTTTACTGTGAAAAAATTAGAGTGTTCAAAGCAGGCCTTTGCTCGAATACATTAGCATGGAATAATAGAATAGGACGTGTGGTTCTATTTTGTTGGTTTCTAGGACCGCCGTAATGATTAATAGGGATAGTCGGGGCGTCAGTATTCAGCTGTCAGAGGTGAAATTCTTGGATTTGCTGAAGACTAACTACTGCGAAAGCATTCGCCAAGGATGTTTCATTAATCAGGGAACGAAAGTTAGGGGATCGAAGACGATCAGATACCGTCGTAG